TCAGTCCTGTACCGCATTATCCAACGAAATTTTGTCAGGGTTAGCTCAACGACGGGTACATCAGCTAGCATATTATAAGAGTCACTTGGATGAAGTTAAAAATTAAGCAAAAAAACACACTAAAAAATTTACTTTAATATATTTTATACTTTAATATTTAATAAAAATATTAGATAAGAGACCAAGTGGTACGCTTCTTTTAAAGTGTTTTAGGATCACAAAAGACAATCCTAAAACCTATTTGAACCTACGGACTGGAACTGTGGGGGATAGCAAATTATTTTAGGAGCAAACTCATCCAAACCTATCAGTCCGAAGTCCTCCGAACAATAGTTGATGCTCCGTTGGTGGACTCTCTGGTGGGCTTGAGATCAGATTAATAAATTGTTTCATTGGCTCTATCCAGATTTCCGGTGGCAATATTTCCTAGGTGTATTCTTTTTCCAAACCTTTAAAACAAAAAAGCCATCATACCTTCTTGATTTCTTTACTCCTTTTTCCTCTGTTCATTCGTTTAACACGATTCCCAGTCCATAAACCTGTTTTTTTCCCTCACATAGAACCGTTTCCTTTAAAAATCATTTATTATTCGTCCTACTTTTTTTTTTTTAATTCTTTACACGCAAATCCTCTTCCTTAACCTCATTTAAACAACTTTTATTCTTCCAGCTACTTTGGAATCAATCTTCTGAATAAATGCAAGGATAAAATTCTTATTAAAGAGCTGTCACTATCATTCGATTGTTAATGTTACTGTTACTTACATATAATCAATATTGTTAATCAGAATGTGTTTATCAGTATGTTTACTCGTACTTAATTTATTTGAATTATAAAGTTAGATTATTGTGTTGTGTTAGCTAAAATTGTTTTTATTGTTTTTTTTATTTTTATAGTGCCAGACAATTTTCATATTTTTGTACGTTATATTTAAGGGGACTAAATGCCCCAGAATAATATTTATTTTTCTTCTTATTTTTCCCTTAGGACTAATGAATGAATGGACCATTATAAATGTCCTTGATTGAGACTGTATTATATCTCAGTAAATAAGTTTAAAAAATCCATAATCAACATGTATCTTTAAGAGTGTCTTTTGTATAAGATTATATCTTCTCTTTAGCAACTGTTACATATTTTTAAAATATCTATGTATGGCTCAACAAGCCGATCTGAAATAATATATATATACATATAAAAAAAAGTTATGAAACCGCTCTAACAGTGTTCATGGTGAAACATGTTACAATGTGTTATGTTAGGATTGTTATACGACCAGCTGTAGTAACTTCTGTTCAGGTTGTAAAACAATTCACCTGATAAGGGTTCAACTGGGATCAATATTTCAACTCATAGCTCACTCCTCCCCCTAACTTCTCCCCACCTCCCATGAGCTTCAGCTATCCGATAAGAAAGTAGAACGTGTGCTAGGAATAAAAAGGAAAGGGTATAAGGATTTATGAGGAGTGTTGAACAAAGGGAGATAAGTAGAAGGGAAGGAATGGAAATCCATTATGGAAGTCTGGAAGGAAGGGAGGGAGGAGACATAAGATATTTAAGAACCCCCCCCCCCCTCACCTGCTCTCATTACAAAGCCTCCTTCATAAGTAGTAAATGCTTTAATTAGTCTAGCCCTTTTGGGAAAAGGGCCCTTTTCAATTCCCTCGATAGCCGTGAAATATTTACTAGGGCAAACTTTATCTTCGGGAAATTAGCTATAAAAATTAAAAGAAAAAGAACCGGACTTTGAAGGGGAAAATCATAATCTCGCGTCATACCAGATTAAAAATTAAATAAATAAAAGGATGGCTGGGGTGATCAGTCAAAATAAAATGGCAAAAATAAATATTAATATTTATTTTAACATTTGCTTACGCTTCGACCCAAAGTTCAGGCTTTCATCAGTGCTAAGAAAGTAAACAGATAACGATAGGTATGAAAATACATTTTATTCATTTTGAGACTAAAATAGATCCGTTATTTATCTTCACAATTAAACTTCATTTTGATTACATTATAAAAATCTTGAATCTTCCACCACATAGATATCCAAAAATATTAGCACTACAGATGTTTATAAATTTATTTAATTAAAAAAGAAAACGCATGGATTAGGAACTTACTTAATCTGATAGAACAGCATGGATTAAATTTCAACTTAAATCGATCTAACTGTGATGATGTTAAACTATGGAGAGCTAATTTATATTTACTAAGAACTCAAATTCAGAAAGACATATAATCAATCTATAATTAAAGTCCAGAATTCTAAAACTTTTACTTTTTACCCTCGTTTAACTTCAGTAAATTATATTTATGATAAAAGCTCATTGAAGGTGATCTGATGAGTAATTAAGATTAGAGCTAATGTTTTGAACTTAAATTATAACCACTTCAAGCAAACAAATAATAATTGTAGCATGTGTAATAAAAAACGAAACAGAAGATCTCTATCACTTCCTGGCTACTTGTCCGATACTCTCTGAATTTAGAATTAAATGGTTAAAATCTAGAAATTTATCTTGGGATCAAGTAATAGATTTGATAAATGGAAACAATTGGATAACATTGGTAAATTACTGCAAGTCTGCTTTCTCCTATAGAATAATGCTCACCAGAGAATTTAACAATTAATAAATTAGAGAATTTTGGTACCACTCTTTTTGTAATTAAAATATTTATATAACTTTTATGTTGTAAATATAATTGTTCTTATTTTCTTATCAATTAGTTGAATATGAATTGATAGAAATATAATTTTGTTATAAAACGCAGACTCCTCTGACGTTCAACAGACCATGTAGCAAGTCTGGTTTTCGATTTTAAATCCAAAAATATTATTTTGTAATTTATATTATGTAATTTTGATAAATAAAAAGACTTTTTTCTTATTCTTCTCTTCTCTAGGTATGAGGAACATAAATAATGTGGTTAAAAAACTTAAAGTAAAATGAAGTAGATAAGTGAACATTAAATTAAAAATTAAAAATACATAAAATAAAAAATACAATAATGTTCACTTATCTACTTCATTTTACTATAAGTGTTTTCCCCCACATTATTTATGTTTCTCATACCTAATGTTATCTGGTTCTTTTCTTAGCCATGATGAAGGCCTGAACTTCGGGTCGAAACTTCGGCAAATGTTAAAATAGATATTATTATTTATTTTTGCAATTTTTATTTTGACTGATCGTCCCAGCCATTCTTCTCTTCATTATTCACTACAGTCAACCATCAACCCACAATTAAATAAATAAAAAATTGTTTTATGTCATATTTAGATAGTCATCAAACTTCAAACAACCATTAATGAGAAACATATATATATTTTTTTTAAATTAAATAAATTCAAATATTACATCATTGAGTATATCATGACATAAACGAGGAAAAATACGATATGAAGAGATATGAACCAACTCAAAGCACTCCAATATAGTTCTATATTAGGAGGTTCTGACGCCATCTCTTTTTTAGACGCCTCACAAGATTGTCAGAGATTTGGATGGCCTATGGAGTTTATAGTGGAAGGATATGTATCAGGATTAGGCTTAGACATCAACATATGAAACATTGAGTTCATTATGGATAATAAATATGAACCTATTTTCATTACTTTAAAAGTGTAGTCTCATTGGTATTTATGTTCTTTATCACTTGAATTCTCTTGCAGCTTAAATTCACTCGATGTTTTCTATGCAAGTATCAATCATTAATAAAAAAATTAAATTATAACTGAGTAATTATTTTTATATTATATACTGTATTATCGATTCTGGTGAAAATATATATATTTTTTCTATCAAAACGAAATTATAGATAACCGAAAGATTTTATAGTGTTTAAGAATGACTATGGCATGGCGTATTTTCCGATACCGGCTTTTTCACTCTTTTTGAATATTAATATTATATTCTCCCTCTATATACCCCCGCTATGCCTTCGTTTATATTCGTCATACTCCAATGTAAAAATAAACATTTAACACCGCTTAAAATTACTCTACACATCTTTAAATCTCTAGCCCCGCTTTAACAAATCCACTCTGGATACAGTCACTCTAATGAAAGCTAAACAGTTTAGTGTACACACGTGTTCCTCCTTCCCTCTCTTGGCAAATAGCTTCAGCCCTGGCAACATTTACCCAGCAACAGTTTACAACTGCGTCTACCAAAACTTTGTTCAACGAGCAAAAACACATTCAAAAACTTATATTATAACTCGAAGATATACGCTCGAATGTGAAAGAAAGTTCAGTTTCAAAAGTATAATGGGTTCAACTTTGTCTGGGAGAATCGCCTTCTGTGAGGTAGATTTTTTTCGGAATGTAAAGAATTACTTAGCTCTTTTTTTTTTTGTTCTGTTTGAGAACCTTCCATTTTCCATTTCTTGTGTTCTTTGGAAAGTACCGAAGCTTAGAGAGACCCGTGACTTGGAATATGTTAAGGGAAAAGGAGGTATTAAATTTCGAACAAAAGAAGGTTGAAAAACTGAGAAAATAGTGGTCCCGTTCTACCTCAAATTATTTTTTATAATATGCAACATCAGAAAAAAAATATTTTAAAAAAATTGTATGAAGACATACATACAAACATTAAACATTTAAAAAAAAATATTACAAGAAGTGAGCAGTTAATCACAATAGAAAAATGTGTTAATTAATTATTAACTAAATATAAATATTTTTGTCATTTTATTGTAGGTTGCTGAACCATGGTTTAAACTACATACTAAACTCGTGAATCAACAATAAGAATATAATGAAACCAGACCTAATTTTTTGACTCATTAATACAATGTAGTTTAATGTTATAGCTTAAGGTAATGTTATGATTTATGATTTGTTTATCATTTTTTAAAATTTATAATATTTCAATAACAATACGTGGTTGATTATTTAATTCATCATTATTTTCTAGATATAATTTAATTTAGAATATTTGTTAGATCCCATCCCAAATTTAAGGATTAAAATATCACTATATAATTATTTAATATCATAAAATTTCTGAACTATTGACACCTCGAAAGTCAAAATCCATCAACCTGTGATCCAGTAAAGAGATCTATAAAAATAATAATAAAAGGGATTAGCAAGCCTAAAGGTTCGATGCCGAAAACTCTAATCACAGTCTATATACTTCTACGTCCATACCCAACCCAAGCCCAATGTTAAGCGAACTTGGAATATCCCAGAATATGTTTTGCATCTCTGGGAAACCAGAAACAAAACGTTACTAAAGTTATCATGTACCTACACAAAGAAAGTCTTAAAAAATATATTAGACAAGTATATAACTAATGATTTTTTATCAAACTATTTTTTTTAAGTCAATTTATTTATTGATATTTTTTTATTAGAGTCGTATTGTTTATTTATTTATTTTTTATCATTTCTTTTAATTTTAATTATATATATATATATATATATATATATATATATATAAATTATTATTTTTTGATATTTTAAATCAATCAACTAAATAGTTTAAAAGAAGTATTATTAAAATGATCGGGAGCTGTTGATCTTTAAGTTTTGAGTTCAGATCTCAAAACAACCAACAAACCAAACCCAAGCACCAAAAGAAGCTCTTACCCTTCCAGGTCGCGGTAAAACTTTTTTGACACCACCTGAACTTGCAGGACCTCTAAGAGAAACCGAATCTCAAGAATGGCAAAGGCGGTGGGACAACAACGCACCTTGCAAATTGAAGACAATAAAGAAAGAGGTGCAATCGTGGACCAGCTCCAGACGCAGAAGTCGTAGAGAAGAGGTCGTCCTCAAGCGGCTGAGGATCGGACATACTAGACTGACACACCTCCACCTCAAAAAAAAAAGATCATATCCCCAGATGTCAAAAGTTTGACCAGTCATTAACTATAAAACATGTTTTGGAAGAGTGCCCTTTTTATACCGCATGCTTAAAAGATCTCGGAATACCCCAGAATATATCAGCATCTCTGGGAAATCAAGAAGAAATTCTTACCAAAGTTATCAAGTTTCTAGATAATGAATGACTTAAACAACATATAGTTTATAACTAATGATCCTTTGCAGATTTATTATTATTGTTTTTTTATTTTATTTCATTTTATTTTAAAAGTTCATTTGTCTATCAATTTCAATTAATTTATTGATTTTATTGCTGTTTTTTTAAAAAGTTTATTTGTTTATCTATTCTATCTTATTATCTAAAAGTTTTTATTGTTATTTTTATTTATTTATTTTATTATATGAATCCATTTATTTATTTTCTTATCCTTTTTTTTTTTTTTTTTTTTTTTTTTTTGTACTAACGATCCAAACAGTATAAAAGTAGTGTTATTTAATTGTTTTTCGCCTAGACATCGAAACAAACAAACAAACCAAACCGAACCACGACAGATCAGACTTATGAAAACCCTCACACCTTCGCTCCTGCCCACCCCTCACACGCTACCAGTCGGCACAGAGCATGTTAAATATTTAGGAATTCTTTTCTAAGCCTAGACAATTTTATTCGCCAGAATTGAGTCATCTCAATAACATTAATGGCAATACGGCGTTGAGAAAACGTCTGAATTCTATATTTGCTTCATCCTTCTTGGGTCCGAATATTCTAGGCACTACTCACATATCTTAGGGAGATTCATGACTCATTAGTTCGAGAATAATATAAACATTATAAATACATCCTGAATGTAGTTCATTATATAGACAATATTGCTACTACTAACCTTAGTGTAGATGCCGGCGCTGGAGAGCTCGTTCTCAATGACCATGATTATGATGCCGAACATCCCCATGACGAGGGCGTAGTCGCTGATCCTCTTCCTCTTCTCGAAGAGGGCCTTCCGCCTGCCGAGGCGGTAGCCCACGTTGGGCTTGTGCTTGGCGCCGTTGAGGGCGGAGGTGGACCCCTGGCCCTTGCAGATGAGGCCGCCCCCGAGGGCCCGCTCCTCCGTGTACCGGGGGTACTCCGAGTGCACCCCCACCAGGGCGATCCCCGCCTCCTCCGCCCCGCCCCCGCCCTTCATCGCTCCGGGGATCGACAGCGTCGAGACCGGCTTCCGAAGCTGAAACAAAAAAAAAAAGAAACAATCAGTTAGAGGGTGCATTGTCAGTTATAAGCGTACAAAAGCATAACAAGGAAACTTATACTAGAGGAAAGAGATGGTCTGGGGTGGGAGTCATAAATAGACTAAAATAGTGAAAAAAAAACCAATTTATTTCAAGCTAACGTTTCGACCCGACTTTGTAATTCTTCTTTAGAAAGTGTTGTTCAGCAATTTAATTGAACTGAATTTATTTGTTAAAGATTATCTTACAATCTTGTACAAATCATATTGAATAAATTTATTTCACCTACATGAGTCTAGTTTATCATAACTGTGCATTGACTTATTATAAAAACAATAACTAAACAATATTACTTCATTACATTCCAATTAATTTCTATCTACATTATCAATAAAACCATAAGAAAAAAAAAGAAACAAACAATTAATTGAACTGACCAACAATTATTCCTTAGTCATAGCACTTGATTGGTGTGTGGAACATCTGAGCTTAAGGAATCCAGTGAATTGCACGCTGACATTATGAACCAGTAAATCTTGTTAAGTTTCTCTATGTTATCGATTCGAAGTATGTCTTGTATCTTGTTTACATCACTTGGCGCAGAGAGAAATGCTCGTAAATGTTTGTGTCTGTCGTCTGTTAGCTTTTCACATTACAGAAGGATATTGAACAGGCTGTTAGAAATGAATTGGTTAAAGAAAGTGCAGGTTTCTAGGGCTATAAAGTAGAAACTAGTATAGAGCTAAATTAATTCGGTATTTGAAACCCTTAACTGACTTATTGATCTTAGCTTTTTTATGTTAGCTCTATACATCAAATAGGACTCTGGGTTGGAAATATTGAAGCTGAAAATAGTTCTATATATGGGATTGTTGTTGGAATTTATGGATAAATGGATGTCCTTAGCTTTTTAGCTAATACGGATAGCTTAGCTTGGTTTTTTTAGCTTTTTCAATATTTCATCGCTGTATTTTAATAACCCCCAGTTGTGTATACTTAATCGATCTCTTCTTTACAGCCATAATGAGCAGCAATTGTTCTGACTTGTGTGATCCAATTTTTTTTTTTTTTTTTTTTTTTTAATAGCTTATTTATTGAAATATATTACAATCTGTCTCAGGGACATTAATAATAGTGTTCACAGATCACATTCACACTCTATATACAGTAAATAAAATAAATTATACAGAAAAATAACATATATACAATAAACAAGAATAAAATAACCTAAAAATAAATAAATAAAAAGAACACATGCACACCTACATACAATATTTACAACTTGGCGAGAGAACTCCAAGCCAGACTTGTCCCTCCAACTGTGGAGGGAAAAGTATGACTCCAGGAGTTCCCTGCACTCCTCTCTCAACCGCGTCACTAGGGCTAAACCCAGTGGAGATTGAGCAAGAGTGCTTTAGCCACATACACTCATGTCGTGAGTGGAGAATCTGGCCATTGCCAGAACTCCAATATTTACAAACTATAAAAGATCGCGGGGCCACTGCCGTTTTAACCTTCTTGGAGGATTATATGGATGGGTGGTGCTGGATAGAGATTTTGCAAAGGGATTTGGATGATGGGTAAGGTTCTGGTGGAATTTGGAGAATTTTGCTGGGATAAGGTCTAGGACAAATGGGATATTAAGGTCATGGTGTAGGGTTTTGTTGGTTACATAGAAAGGAGCATTGGCTATTGTTCGAAGGACTTTTGATTGGAAGGATTGGATGCGTTTGATGTTAGTAAATTTTGCTGTTCCCCACAGTTCAAGTCCGTAAGTCCAGATAGGTTTCAGTATTGTCTTGTAGATCAGTAACTTGTTTTCAATGGAAAGTTTTGATTTTCTGTTTAGTAGCCGGTATAGTTGTCCGTATCGTCGGTTTAGTTCCTGTCTTTTAAGTCTAGTATGAGGGTTCCACGTTAGTCGTCTGTCTAAGAGAAAGCCAAGGTACCGGACTGTGTCCGAGAAAGGAAGCTGAATGGAATTAAAGTGTACTGGTGGACAGGAACTGCGTCGGAGCGTGAAGGTGATGTGTTGGCATTTGGATTCGTTTACTTTAATTCGCCATTTATTACACCAGTGTTCAATCAGGGAGAGATGTCTTTGAAGGTTTAAGGATGCTATATCAGGATCTGAGTCGGATGATAGAATGGCGGTGTCATCAGCAAAAGTTGCCAGGAAGGTATCGGGATGGACAGGGATATCAGCGGTAAAGAGGATGTAAAGGACGGGACCCAATACGCTACCTTGAGGAACACCTGCCTCAATTGGATAGCAATTCGATAATTCACTACCGCAGCGAACTCGGAAGGTACGATCTGAGAGGTAGGAACGGAGGACAAGGTACAAGGACTGAGGAAGATAGGTTTTCAGCTTGGAAAGAAGCCCGGCGTGCCATACCCGGTCAAAAGCTTGAGCTATGTCCAGAAATGCACCCGAGCAATATTGCTTGCTTTCCAATGCTGCGGAAATATGATCGACCACTCGGAGTCCTTGTTGGACTGTGGAGTGTTGTGAACGGAATCCGAACTGATGTGAAGGAAAATTTTGGGATTCTATAAAGGGTAGGATTCGTTTCAGGAGGATCTTTTCAAAGATTTTTGAGAGAATCGGAAGTAGGCTAATTGGTCTGTAGGACGTTGAGATGTTGGGAGGTTTGCCTGGTTTCGGAAACAGGATAATAGTGGAATGTTTCCACAAGAGAGGAAAGTGGGTGGTTCTTAGGATGGCATTATATAAGTAGGTGAGAAATATAACAGCTTTAGGAGGAAGTTGTCGAAGGATTTGAGAGGTAAGGAGGTCGTATCCAGGAGATTTACGGAGAGGAAGTTTTTGTAAGTGATGTTTGACCTCAGAAGGATTAACTGCTTTAGGTGGCAAGGAAAGTGGAATGGGAGATGTAAGGAATTCTTCTACTGTTGTGGTATGGGTGAGGTTGGATTCCGGATGAGAGGTAAATGTTCTGGAGAGGTGTCTGGCGAATTCCTCAGCTTTATCTTCATCAGACGCTGCCCAGGAGCCATCGCTTCGACGGAGGGGATGGGAAATATGATGGGATTTTAGGATTTTGTTGGTGATCTTCCATAGGGAATTGTCATGAACAGAGAGGGAAGTAAGGTAGGAGTTGAAGGATTGGGATTTGAAGGTGGCCAATTCCTGCTTCAATTGTTTACTGTAAAAATTATAGGAACGACGATCGATGGGGTGTCTAGTACGTTGCCATAATAATCTGGCGCGGCGTTTGGTATGGATTAGGTCTATGAGGTGTTGAGGTAACTTATTTTTCTTGGGAGTTCTTGAGGAGTGGTTTGGAGAGGAAGCAGTCCAGATTGCTTGTTGGATAGTGGTGGTGAAAAGGTGTACGGCATTGTCAAGGTCATCTGGGGTTTTTAGGGATATTCTGAGGTCAATTTTATCGGATAGGATTTGGTGATAGAGTTTCCAGTTAACTGGGCCTCTGATGAAGGACGGTGGAGAAGACTTAGGAATAGGAGCAAGAGATAATTGGAGTAATAATGGACTATGATCTGAGGATAGTTCGGCAAGACGGGTAAGGGAATGATTGAGGGGACCTAAGCCACTGTGGATGAAAAAATCAAGGATATCGGGATTGCGGTTAGGATCTGTGGGCCAGTAGGTAGGTGACTTAGGAGGAAGGATACTGAACCGTTGGGAATTGAGTGCAGATAACAATGTTCTGCCACGAGAGTTCGTGGTTCTAGAACCCCATTGATGGTGTTTGGCGTTTAAATCTCCACCCAGGATGAAATTATGACCTAAGGAGTTGAGGAGAGAACTGAACTGGACTTTGGATATGGATCTGTTAGGAGGGCAATATGCTGATGCAAGGGTGACTGGAAAGGAGAAGGTTTTGATTACAATAGCGGTTGACTGTAGGAAATCTTGAGTGGGTAATGGGAGTAAGTGATGGGAGAGGGATTGGTGTACGATGACAGCAGTACCGGCATGTGCTCTGCCGTCAGGATGGTCAGTACGGTAGGTTAAATACTGTGGGATTTTCAAATGCTGTTTTATGGTCAGTCGAGTTTCTGTAATAAGGGCTACGTCAATGTTCTTGTCTTGTAGTAAAGCTGTTAGTTCGTCAACGTGATTTCTAACACCATTCGCATTCCAAAGGAGAATGGATATGGGTTTTGGGATGTGAGTCATTAAGGATTTTTCAAAGGAGGGATTAGGTGAGATACGAGATTTGTAAGGAGTGATATGAGTGGAGTAACTAGGGATTTGAAATCGGTGAGGAAAGATGCTAACAAACTGGTGAGATCTGTTGCATTTGAAGGAGGAGGAATTTGAGGTTGTTGATGATTATGTGTGTTAGGATGAACAGAATATTGAGGTTGGGGCTGAGGTAGTTGCTGCGACAGGGCTTCACATGTATTATTGGGGTTCTTACCTCCAAGTAGTTCGGAGTATGATAAATTATTATTAACTATTCTAGAAGGTTCTCTTCTTGGTCTGGTTGTCTCATCTTGAATCCGGTTCTTCTGGTATCTGGATTTGAGGCTCTTATAGGTTTGGCAGCCTTTGTAGTTGGCCGGGTGACCCTCCTGGCATAGTGCACACACTGCAGGATCTTGTATTGGTTTGGTGCACTCCACAGATTTGTGCTGTTCACCGCATTTCACGCAGCGCGGCAGATGGTGACAATAAGTTTTCGTGTGGCCATACGCCTGACAATTGTGGCACTGTACAATTTCCTTCTTGGGGTATGGCTTCTCTATCTTCACGATAGTGTAGTACAATCTCTTGATGTCATATATTTTTTCAATACCAGGTGATGGCTCTAGATCCACGAAAAATAAAGGTAGTGGAACCTTATTACTTACTCCTGGCTGCTCCTTATTCTCCTTCAGAACGTTGGTTACCTGACGCACTTTGAAACCAAGCGTCGCTAGTTCTTCTTTTATAACTTCAGTTGGGGTTGAGGAGTGTAAATTT